GAAAAGAAGTTTCGTCGCCATTTGAAAGATCAGGGATTCCAGTATTTGAGTCTGCTTCGTACCTTTTCCTTCACCCGGAATGATCGACGTAGCCATTGGGACTAAACATAGTTTAAAGGAAAAGGACAAAACACCTAAGAGGTTTTTTGTTTTTATATTAGATGTTCAATATTGGAACAATGTAAGGCGTGTTTATTTAAGCATTGAATTCATATTTGGGGATGTCTTCGGTCCTATAACACACCTGGCCGTGCCGACAAATTGAATACCGCACGTTAGCGCGGTATGATAATTTTTTTATTTTTATATTTTTTTTTGTTTTCATGTGATTCTTTCTATCTGTTAATCAATTATATATTCATAAACTTTACAAGTTTTAACTATATACCTCACATAGTTTTGGAGCTGTTGTAAAAATAGATTTTAGGACATGTTGACGTTTGACGAAACCTTAATTGGCAATATTGCTATAATAAAACTCATCTTTACCTTGCAAATTGCTAGGACTAAAGTTTAGGGCGATTTACAATTGTAATTTCAAGATTTTCAAGTACTTTTAATGACGAATGTCAGCATTCCATCTTTGAGTTATTCCATCCCTCACTAGCCAAGCGAGAACCCAGCTCAACCAGAACAAAACATACAAATTTTAAATGATCAATCATTCCTTGTGATTTCCGTGAATACCCACTCTAATAAAAAAACAAACAAAAAAAACTTGAAGCATATTTTATTTATAATTTTTTATTCCTAAATGTTGGCTGCTTGTGCCCCAGCAGAGGGCGTTATTAAAGGCACAGATTCTGATGATGTAATGTTTGTTTTCATGGCAGCTGCGGCAAACACTGTATCGAGCATGCCCATGACTTCACTGAGTTCCGTCATATAATTCACTTCCTGTTCAACAGTGTCTCTAAGTTCTGTCAACTGACAGTCCATCACGGGGCTTTGTCCCACTTGGTCTGCGTATAAATCTGGAAAAAAAGAATCATAACTACTGAGTTTAACTTTTGGTGGCAAGTTACCCTGGATAAAACCCCAAACTTGAAATAAAAGAGACAGCATGAAAATTAGCCATATTATTCCCTTCTCCCTCAATGTAGAATTTTTAAATTATACACCCTAACTTTAGAAATCGTAAAATAAATTCACTTATAAACCTAGTTACTTACCTAATAATAAGTTTGCAACATCTAACAATATTGGTTGAAAAGATGGCTTACTTATATTTCTGCAAATAAAACAAAATGTACTCGTATTAATCAAAAGAGTACACCAATAATAAAAAGATTGGCTTAAAGGCAAAAAGAATATCTTATAGAGATTCTAATCACATTCAGTGAATACCAATCATATATCGCACACGTAGGTCGTGAAAGATACCCGTCCTATTTCTAAAGTACTTATTTTTACTTCTAAATATTGGAACTATTGATGTAGAGGTAATTTTTTTTCTACAAAAATGTTAAGCTTACTTATAGGCTGCAAGGAAAGATAATAATATTATTATGCATGCATTTTTTCTGTCTATATTTCATTTTTTGAAGTTGCTATATATCTGGCATTCAAAAATTAAACTCTTTCGAATGGGTGATTTACCCTATAAATAATTAACTTCTTTACGAACTATATGATTTATTTTAAAGACAGGTAGCTAACTTCTTTATTAACTGGATGCTATCTTCTAAAGACATATAACTCAAACCTTCATAACCTGGATGACATACCTTCAAAAAAGTTAACCTCGTTATGAACTGGAGGTTATACCCATCTACAGATGACTTACCTCTTGATGAACTGGATGATATACCCTACAGATGACATACCTTTTCATGAACTGGGTGATTTACCCTACATAAATTGGATGATATACTCTACAGATGATATGCCTCTTTATGAACTGGATGATATACCCCAGTCTACAGATAACTAACCTCTTTATGAACTGGATGATATACCTTACAGATGACTTACCTCTTTATGAACTGGATGATATACCTTACAGATGACTTACCTCTTTATAAACTGGATGATATACCTTACAGATGACTTACCTCTTTATGAACTGGATGATATACCTTACAGATGACTTACCTCTTTATGAACTGGATGATATACCTTACAGATGGCTTCCCTTTTTATGAACTGGATGATATACCTTACAGATGACTTACCTCTTTATGAACTGGATGATATACCTTACAGATGGCTTCCCTTTTTATGAACTGGATGATATACCTTACAGATGGCTTCCCTTTTTATGAAATGGATGATATACCTTACAGATGACTTACCTTTTTACAAACTGGATGATAAAACCTACATTTAACTTACCTCTTTATAAACTGGATGATATACCCTACAGACAGATCACTACGACATGCTAGTGCTGCCTTAATGGCACCTTTTTTCATTAATTCCTGTAAAACTCGTACTGTAATTTCTGGCGACCTTAAACATACGCCATTCTAATGAGAGAAATAAAAACCAATTACTGATTATATAAATGGAAAATTTCAAATATTCATGCTAGGTAAAAATGTACTTGTTTATAACTGCCCTCAAAAAGTGAATGTTACTAAAATCAATCATTTTCTTGTACTTGAAGAACAGTTTAATTCCTTATTTCAACAACAGACAGATTAACTCGCCTTCATTGCAGCATCTAAAGCTTTTGTAAATTCAAATTTCTTGAAATATTTGTCATATCTTGCAAGCTGTTCCTTTCGCTTGTGTAGAACAACAAAGTCGCTCTGGAAAACAAAAATCAGTACTGCATCAAAGAGAGGTGTACCTATAAAATTCTACTACAGAACTTTTTGACATTCATTTTGTTGTGTATTTTAGAAAAGATCTATTGGGGAGAGTTTACCTTCTAACTTAAACAGGACATTGCACAGTTTCTAAACGTACGGCTATTCTTGCGTTTTCTAATTCAATTTTATCCAGTTTTTTTTATTCAAGAATGAAAGAGCTTAAGGGCTGGGTTCCAGCTTTCCTTCTGGAATTCTGATCTGTCTTATCAGACTATAAACAATTATAAGCAAACTTATTGTACCTGCCTCTACTGATTTGTGTGATATAAGATCGTAAAAAAAATATTTGCTGACTGCTATACTTGGCACATTTACCTACTGACAAAAGAATGATTTAAAACTTATAATCACTCGTTTAAAACTTTCTCTGTGGCATATTACAGTTAATGAAAACGGACAATCTTGTGTAAGTATAATCACTTCTAATGGTCGATTAAAAGAAATATTTGGCTGTGCTTTTCATGCTCTTTTTTCATAATAAACGTTCTTGAAATTAAGAAAAGAAGAAAAACTTCTGAGATTCGTTTCAGATATTTGCGAATAAATCGCAAAAATTCATGTAGTTGTCACAGCGTAAAAAGCGGTGGAAATGATGGATGAATATTTAGTATGTCAGAAAACCTGCCTGGATCTATGTTGAACAAGATAAACATAAACAATGATAGATAGACGGCAGATGATGGCGCTACTTCAACGTTCCTTCTTCTTCAATAGCGTTACTTCATAATCTACACAGAAAACCGCTTTGAAGATGAAAATGAAATTTTTATGACAGACAAGATTGAATAAAAACACGAAAATGTTCGTAAAACAATTCAATGAGGTACTTAAGACAGAAATAAAGAGCCTTCCACTCTTAATTGACTTTAATTGAAACTGAAATGTAAACAGCCTCGCAATACACGTACATGTAATTAAATTCTTATCTAATTCTTGTGATTTCAACATATGGCTATAATGGGTATAGTTGGGAAAACGATAAAATATTGTTTTCATAAATACTTAAAAAATACGAATTTTAGATTTTTCCAGAGTACACCTTCACTTTATGTTTCGTGTAAACATTTATCATCGTCTTTCAATATCAGATGAAAACGAAATAGTAATAAAGAATGTTTTTCTACATAATAAATAAATTGCTTTAAAGCCCAATACAAAAAAAAGAGATGTTCTCATAAATCTATTTCAGAATGTTTTTTGATACAATGAATTCACTGTAAACAACAAAAAATGCTTTATTTTTCAGCGAAGACTGTATCAGGCAGGTCTCACCATGAAAATGTTGACACGTGATCAGATTTTTTCATCTTTCTATGTGAATTTGAATCCAAAAAATTATAGCAGACCTTAAACTTTGTGACGCCCTCAATTTATATATTTTTGATTTCTCTCTCAAATACTTTTTTCTATTAATCGAGTTGAATATTAAAAATAAATCCACTTAAAAGTAAATTAGCTTTGGGCAAATCAGCAAAGATATTAAAATGTTACTTAAGTATTCGGGCGAAAATAACTCATTGAAAATAATCCAGTATACAGCACAAGTCCCTCGGTTAAGGTTGATGAATACCTTTTGTGGATGGTACGTCTTTCCTGCCGGGTTGTAGCGGTAGGTTGGTTTGATTTTTATTTTTGGTTCTCTTGGAGCTTTCCTTTTTTGAATTGACAGCAATCCTTCCGCCATTCCAACTACCAGCAAATCATCATCGGGCTGTGTAGAAACAATTGGTTACCACTTTAAATAAGCATCCAGTGGTAATAATTACAAATACCTACCGTTATGAAACACGCCTTAATATATATTTAGCAGACCCTGCTGCAAGAGTGCACACAGAAATTTCCACCGTCAAGTATGATTTCTAAACATTCTGAAGATTAATATTTCTTTATTTTAATGATGAATCGTGCCGACCAGCCCATTAAAGCTGATCGTTAGCAGAATATCAATGAAATGGAAACCTTGCGTACTTTTCAGACATCACTTAAATATTATGTCAAAGGTTGTTTTCTCCATCTCATTCTACAGGAATCCACAAGAATGGCAGATGCCTGCTTTTTAATTTCCCATTATCAAAATAAGAAGTGAAGATGAATCTTCGATGCTTAGTCATCTAAAGTAAGACATTCCTCTAAAAAATCATTTCCTGAGCATTTAATTAGGAGCACAGTCTAATTTAGCATTATCCCAATCGGTATTATGCAATATCTTATTAAAATGTAAGATCTAATTGTATTTGAAAAAAAAATAAATTTCAACAGATCTGTTACCTAGATTTAGCGAGTAGTTTTGTACCTTACATTATATACATTGTACATGTATTTATTTCAGTCAATAGTTTTTGGTATTTACTATGCAGTATGGTACATGATTTGCCTTCTTCTTTCAATTTTTCAAAGAGAATTTCAGAAAAAAAATGATCCAACTTCTGTATGATATAGTATCTGCATTAAGGACTTACCGATACTGCAGCACTGAGAACCGTACCCGGCATATCTAAGGTATGGACTACTTTGAACGTACTGATATCAAAAATCTTGATGTGCCTGTAATGATTAATTAAGATCAAGTAGGCTTTCATGGGACCCTTTGGATAGAAGAAATATATATGATGAAATTATTACTGATTAAACATATTATGTTAAACAACTTATATTCATCGAAACAAACATAAAAAAAAACAAGCAAAAACCAAACCATCAATCTTTTTCAACATTCAAAATGATTTGTAAAAAAAATATAAGGGCATTTGTCTGAATACCTCTAACATAAAAACTCTTAATGATTTAATACATGGATAATCTGCTCCACGAAATCTACCAGCAAAAAAAATACCCCTAAAAACAGTAGTATAAAAAAGTTGATATCCTCCACCATTACTGCCAAAGCCTGATTTCATTGACGCTGGTTTGCCGCCAAATTCATCAGCAAGACTAAATTAATGTAAACTTGATTGAATTAAAAACACATAATTGATTAAGTCAAGTTAATATGCTCTTTATTTTATAATACAACAAAAAGGATTACTCTCTTCCGCAGTGCATTAACTAGAAGAATGCTATGCTTGCTTAGCGCAACCAGACGATGGGATCCAAATGAATCATCAGCTAGGAAGGTTAACGAGATTAAAACCATTATTATATTTATATTTAGCCTCTTTTGAAATGAAAGTGAACTTCTTAGCTAATAAAAATTGATATTAATTTACGCTGGAAAACAAAATCATATTGCAAACTACGTGGGGATTTAGAGTTACTGCCCTTACTACAACAGAGCGAAGTGCCGAGCTCGGTGAAGTTTTTGCGATAGTTTTTATATCTTTAAATCCCTCTTCAGAATCAAGTCCACATTTCACTTATTGTTTTGGATGTTATTTAATTTAAAAGGCTACTGGCAGAGAACTGTGAAATTGTACAATGCTTTAACTAACAGCGGGGGCTCGGCATTTGGTTTTATACAACTGACATCCGTCAGATGGGAAACATTAAAATTACTTACTTCATAAAATAATTAAATACAGAAATAAGATTCCCGCTCTCACACTACACGCTTTCAGATGATATGCAAAAAAGGCCACCGCCAATGCACTGCTTACCCATCAGGGGGGACTAAAATCCTTAACTGATGTAAATTTAGGCATACTTGGGCTAATTCAAATGTCACATTTGATTGCGATAAATCTTAATTAACACTCGTCACGTGAGCATCTTCTTCCTGATGGCACTATGTATTTAAGGAGGATATCAAGTCCTAATTTACAGATTTCAGAAGACAACATATGCCGTTTTTATTATATACTTGTTTCTTTGTTCCAAATAAATTACTAAAATTATTAGGAAAGAAATGGAAATTCCGATGATTGTCTTAGAATTGCTTCAGAACTAAGATAGGAAGGAAGATTGTAACGAAGAAGAGGGTGAAGATAACAAACACCGATCGATCTCGATGCGGACATAAACACAGATCCGGGGAAATTCCAAAAGTAGGTTCAGGTGCCTTAAAATAAGTAAGCTCCCGAGTTGACCCTCAAACCCACCGTAAGTCCGAATGTTTTCATCAAGGAGATTGAACATACCTTAGTCAAATGTAGTACAAAACAAATGGCATGAATAAAACGTATTGGAGATTACAAACAGTATTCAAGATCACAAGTCATAAAACAATACAAAATAGGAGCGGAGCAAACACGGACCTCTAAAACATCAGAGGCGGGATCAGGTGCCATGGAAGAGGGAGCATCCCCTGCCGACCGGTCACACCCGCCGTGATCGGGGAATACGGAAAAATCCGTCGTCAATTAAGTCTATAAATAATGGACTAACAATAAGTATGAAAAACGCCAGTCAGAATTTGACTCAATGATAAATTGTATTTGCTGACGAGGTCATTGTATCAACCATAGAACTTATGAACTGATGACTTTAAAAGAGACTGCTGAAATTCTTGTTTCATCAACTTGTTTGTCAATAATTTACCTCGTTGCAGAAATTATTCAAACGTAGAGCATGCTCTTGCGTATCGAATCAACTGAGATTTATAAACTTCGTATGCAGGTGAAGAAGGTATATTGCTGCATAAGTAAGGGAAGTTGGCCATAGAAAAGTTAAATTCATCATGTTTATCATAGAGCTTGGTTGTTAGATTACTATTTATATGTCTTTTTCAAGTAAAACATCCAAATATGAAACAAATGTGTCAGACTCTATGGTATCTTTTATCTCAAGCTCACCAGGATATATCGAACAGGTCAGCCGAAATACGATACTGTGATAGATTGATTTTTTTTCTGCCAATAAGTTTTTTATAACCATACAATTTACAAACTGCTGACTTTAAACGAGGTTTCTGAAATCCCTGTAACATCAACTTATGTGTAAGTAGCCTGACTCGGTTTAAGAAAAACTTACCGTAATCAGAGCATGCTCTTGAATTACAAAAAAAAGTTGTGAGACACCAGTGGATATATAAAACCACAGATTTAAGAGATTCTTTAAAAAAAGTAATATAAATTTACAAAACTTTCTTAATAATACATCATCACATGTACAGTGCAACTTTTCTTGATATTACAACTCTGGGATACCTTTAGTCTTTGAGATTTTCATATTGAAAGAAATTGCTTTAAAAATCTGACTTCGTCTGTAAAGGCCAGTTTTGAGCTCAAAGGGTGGCGACAGAGTATTCCAACTTTTAAAAAAAAAAATTTGATAAATGTATAATTATAGTGTTATAACTAAAATCAAACTTTATTTGAGGTAAGACAACTGGAAACGCAAATGTTGAAATTGTAAATGTAGTCTCTGATCCTGGAACCTATACATTTGATAGAACACAAACTTCCCTTACTGTACTTTGGCTGCATACAGAGGTTTATATATCTCACTTGATTCAATACACAGGAGCAAGCTCTACGTATGAACAATTTCTAAAACGAGGTAAGTTATTGACAAACAAATTGCTGAAACAAGAATATCAACAGTCTCGTTTAAAGTCATCATTTCATAAGGTTTATGGTCGATACAATGACCTTGTCAGCAAATACAATTTATCATTAAGTCAAATGCTGACTGATGTTTTTCATACCAATTGTTAGGCCATTATATACACATTGAATTATCGACTTATTTTCCCGTTATTTCCCGATCATGACAATTAAGGACCACACGGCGGGTGTGACCGATCGGCAGGGGATACTCACTCCTACATGGCAACTGATCTAACCTCAGATGTTCCGGAGGTCCGTGTTTGTTCTGCTCAAATTTTGTATAGTTAAA